AATGGTTGGGAATGGATGGATGGATGATTGCAATGGGTATTCAAATGAATATTACAAATAAAAGAAACATTTAAATTTACCATTTTGTGTTTTTTTTCTTCTTCTTCTTTTATATAAACAATTATCTATTTTTAAGATCACGAATGCAAATATTCTTTAACATACGTAATCATGCGATGTTGCAGATAAATTTTTCTTTTCAATATCGCTGATCTAATTTAATAAATGTTTATTGGCGATGTTGAAATGAATGTAATTAATCAGGTGTCAAGCTAGCTGTAAAATGAGATCCGTTATATTTGAAAAGAAAAAAAATGTCATTGTAAATAAAAAGGGTGTTTCAATATTTCGTATTCAAAGATTTGTTCATTATAATTGCCTCCAAGAGTTTGCTTACCGGACCATATCCTTTTCATAGAATTCTGCTTAACGAAAATCCACGATACCCGATACCTATTTAAGGGCTTGAATCATCACTGGACTGTAGGAGTATACCTTACATATTATGTGGATCCAAAGGGTTAAATTACAAAATCTCGGTGCTTAATTGAGATCTAATCTTTGAGAGTTAACACGATTACCGTAAAAGATAACAAGTTCCGTCGTGGTGTGTTACACGTCTTGTTGAAAATAACCCTCCTCCAGATCAATATCAACCAATTCCGAACATAAACCAGTAAGGAAAGTTCAAAAGTCGGACGGGGCCGACTATATGGTACCTTTCACCACTTTGGGTACATGCAAGACATGTTAATATCTACAATATCCTGTTGAGATGGTATAGGGCGAAATTAAATGTGCTATCTAGAAAAATATTTGAACCAATTGAAAAACTCCATTCACACACCATTCTGAAATCAATGGAAATTGGTGTACCATTTGTATGAAATCGAGTCAAATTATGTATGGGAGCTATACATAAACACACGGACCTAATTGAGTAACCGTTGCATACACCATTTGCTGTTTGTAATCACTTTATATTCAATTTAATACCCTCTGCCAAATTTCGTGTAACCACCATTTACATAAAATCGAACGAAAATATATATAAGACCTATATCACAATCTGAACCGATTTCAACAAACCTTATCACGCATCATTTTTTTATCAATAGCATTCGCTATGCAAAATTTTACTCAATCAGACAAATATTGAGAGTTTGGTATATCATTCACAAAAAATTGGACGAAACTATATATATGAGCTATATCTAAATCTGAACCGATTTTAACAAAACTTGGCAGACATCAGTCTGCACCTAATTCAGTACTCTGTGCAAAATTTTGTCTCAATTGGACAAATATTGGATGTTTGGTGAATCATTCACATAAAATCAAACGGAACTATATGTGGGAGCTATATCTAAATCTGAACCGATTTTAACAAAACTTCGCAGACATCAATCTGAATATGATTCAGTACTCTGTGCAAAATTTTGTCTCAATTGGAAAAATATTGGGAGTTTGGTGCATCATTCACAAAAAATCGGACGAAACTATATATGGGAGCTATATCTAAATCTGAACCGATTCCAACAAATATTGGGAGTTTGGTGCATCATTCACAAAAAATCGGACGAAACTATATATGGGAGCTATATCTAAATCTTGAACCGATTCCGCACACACAAGCATGGACCTGATTCAGTGCGCTGTGCAAAATTTTGTCCCAATCGGACAAATATTGGGAGTTTGGTGCATCATTTACATAAAATCGGTCGAGCTATATCCAAACCTGAACCTATTTTCTCCAATTTCAATACGGTTCGTCCTTGGGCCAAATAAGTGAACTGTGCCAAATTTCATCCAAAACGGATCATAAATGTGACCTGTAATTTGTTAACAAAAATACATGAACGGACGGACATTCGTAAATCGACTCAGAAAGTGATTCTATGCATATTCTCAAAGGGAGCCATGGGTCTATCTCGATTCCTTTTGCCTGTTACAAACATATGCACAAAGACATAATACCCTTTACCACAGTGTGGTGAAGGGTATAAAAATCAGTAATTTTCTTTCGGTGGAGTGATTTATACACCGTAAATGTTGATCCATCCTAATTTTCGAAAAATTAAGGTGTCAAAGCCGGACAATAATCCGCTATTGTTTCACGTTGAGGAATAAGACATTCCTTAATTATTACTCACGGGTTTTTTCGAGATCAGAAGCAACAATTTGTATACCCTACACAACCATGTTGTCAAGGTATTATAGCTATGTGCAGCCCCAAAAGTATACCGATCGTCATATCTCGACTAGCTGAGTCGATTTTGACATGTGTGTCCGTCCGTTCGTCTGTCCATTATAATTTGTAAACACGATACAGGCCACAGTTATGGACCAATCTTCACGAAATTTGCATGTAGAAGGGGTTCTAGCCAATGAAGACCCCTAAGGTTTTTTTTTGGAAAAATCAGTTAATATTAGGGGGTGAAATGGTCCTAAAACTTTATTTTTGTCCGATTTTCTGGTCGCTCCAGAGGCCGCAAACACCTCGAATTATTGCATGGAGGAGGGGATCGGGCCAGAGAATAACCATGCCTGCTTTGATAAAGATCGGCCATTATTTAGCGGGTCAAATCGACTCTGACTTTTGTGTGAAAAATAACAAAATTTGTATTCTATAGCGTATATATTTACCCCTGAAGAACAAAGACCCGATAAGTTGATAGTATATCCAAGAGGAGTGGTTGACCTTTAAATTGATACCAAATATATTGATGTATCTATTCGGATGTGGGAATTACACTTAAGTATTTACACGTGCTTACGTATTCAGATATTATGTAGTAACCCATTACCACATTAGAGGGCGGAAATATCGCGCTGATGGCTTTGAAATTTTCCATGAAGTTCCAATTATGGTCAAGGACAACGCCTATAATTTTCGGTGATGATCGGAATAAAATTTGGGATGAAGTGGACCGAAAACTTAATTTCTTTGTGTGTTTTCTAGTCGAATATAAGCCTAACATCACAACTCAAACCACCGTGAAGGGAATCTGGACAAGTAAGTAAAAGGGCTGTACTGAATATTTGTAATATTCGGAACATGTAAGGAAAATGTGCTGTTGACCTCTAATCGGGCAAGTCGGGCAAATATCACGAAATATTGTATACAGGCTCGGAATAAACATCCGAGTTCCGTGGTAGTTGTGTAGGGTATCGTATGGTCGGCCCCGTCCGACTATACTGCTCCGCTCACTGGTTTTATTTATACCTTTTTCACAGAAGGGGTGGACCGATATTACCCATATTCGAACTTGAACTAAGTTTGAAAGAAATATTAAGATGTGCAAAGTTTGAATGAAATCGGTTACTCCCTTCGATAGTTATCGTGCGCACCATCTGGACAAACAGACAGGAAGGCGGACACACGTATGAGCATTTGAGCGACTCCAAAATTGTCTGAAACAGATTTGGTCTAAAGAAGCACATTTTTATCGTATCCAAATGTATATACCCTCATTAGCCCTGAGGCTGAGGGTATAAAAAGGGAAAAATTATAAAGTCCCGAAAAAATGCACAAATATTTCTCTTTCCGATTTGTAGGTAATTTTAATTTGATAGTTAATCGACCCCCTAACGTTAGTTCTCTTAACTAACGTGTTGTTAAGCTTTCATCAACTGATTATGCTAGCGCCATCTTCTGACAGCTTTTATAGAACAGCATAAACGGTATCTGTTAAATAAAATTTCCCAGTTTAGCAGTGTGTTAATAACAGATTGCTTATGTCTAACATTTACTCTGGGAAAACAGAAAGATTTTTTTATAAAATATAACGAAGTATTTGACAATTTTTTCTATAGAATCATAAGTTTCCAAAGATTTTTCTATAAAAAAGATTACAGTTCCTAGATTTTGTATATAACATGTGTATATAACTTTTTATGTAAAATAATCCGACCTTTTTCTACAGAAAAATCCAGTAAGCGGATCAGGGCCGACCATATGATTCCCTGCACAACTACAACTAAAATTTTTTAATTGATATCAGATTTAACGTCAACCATCCCTCCTTCCTACACCGACTACAATCAATATTATCATCAAATTTTGTGATGTTTGGCTCATAATTGTTGCCTCTAGAGCTGTCAGAAAAACATCTTTACCAACAACTGTTAATGTAATTTTAGGCCAAAACCAAGTCTACAAGGATACATCCAAGGCCAATATTTCGTGGCGTTATAAACTACTGATTACTGCCACATAAACTTATAATGAAGTCGTTAAGTTAAACCGCTCCAAACTTTTTTATCGTCCACAGTGGGCATTCAAAGGGCATGAAATCGAAAAGCACCCTCCAATATATGGGTAGAGCGCTATATATATATATTTCTTGAGCGCGTTTTTCAACCGAATTTGCTGCAATTTGGTATTCTGTAGTCGTATATTGTAACAAATCTCCCTACCAAATATTTTTAATATTCGCCCCCTTTTTGTATTAAAATAAATCTATGCTTTGTTCAGTGTTTGGGTTTGGTTCTAAGACTCTGTTGTAATTATTTCATATGCGGAAGATACGAAAAAAATGGAACACAAGGTTCGATATTTAACCTTATATATATATATTCATATATATGAACTGTAACCCGCATTTAGGCCTAAGCCTCTGTGTGGGAGGAGTGGACCGATATTCCTCATGTTCGAACTTGAACTAATTTTGGAAGAAATAATAAGATGGACAGGGGTCTAGGACTAATATTTAGAACTATAATCGGTTTGTACAAATGTCGGTATAGGTACACTTTTTGGTATGTTCCCTATATTTTTATTTCAAGTACCTGACAGTATATCTATGGTGGAGGGTATCCAAACGCTTTTCACTTGTTACTTGTTTAATAATTATATTATGTGTTAAAATCAAGGGATCATCTAATAATTTATTTATACTTCATAATAAGATATTTGTACATAGGTTATAATACATATCCCGATATACTTAAATATGTATCCACGAATATATATATATATATATATGAATAACTTATATCTAATTATTACTAATACCACTATCCACACTAAAGCGATTTGAATCACGGAATAATGATAAATTAAGTGGACGTCGTCGTTCACGGTGTACCACATCGGGATTGTGTAACTCTTTCAAACGGGCCCGTTCCTCTACAGCATAGGCATTAATGATGGCACGAATTAAATCCTGCCATTGTCTTACCAATGCCGGCTCTCCAGCAAATTCACATTCCTGCTGCCTCAGGCGGTCATAGTACAAACTAAAGGATTTATTCTGTATCGTCATGCCTAAATGTTCACGAGGATAACGACCACGAAATACCAACTGTTTTCGCTTAACCTCCGTATAAATAATACATTTCTCATAAATAAATAGCTTCGAGCGGTAATTCCTTTTCAGGGTGTAATCATGACAGCTGAATTCGGCAACATCGCGAAATTTACCCTGATAGAAAATATTGAACTGCAAATTGTACAAAAAATGAATTTAAAAATGTAAAATGTGACAACTCTCTGTAGGGATATTGAATTTTAAACCAACCTCATGCGTCTCACTGATACAATCGACATCATTGATAACTTCCGATTTGTTAATGGCATTCAATAGGATTTGTAATTTCCTATCCAAACGGCAACATGAATCTAGTATGGGTTTCATGGGATAATTGTCGAAAAGTTTCTGAAAAATAGGAATAAGAAAAATGTAAAAATTGGAAAAAAAATAATAGATTGTTAACTGTATTTTGATAATTAATTAACGAATATGTTTATTAACAATTAATATGTATATTATACAACAATTAAAAACGGAATTAAGTTCTGTCGGGCGGATCTTTATATAGCCTTTAGCATAAGGTGCTCAAACCAAGCACCTACACTGTAAATTGTCCACCCGGACGGTTTATCGCACCTATACATGTACATCTAGTTGAAAAATTAATTTAGGACTTTCAACATACAAAACGTGGCATTTGACCTTAATATGGGCGATATGGCAAAAAATGGACCTGTTTTGTTCATTTTCTGGAAGATTTTTTTTTTTGGCCTCAGAGCATGCTATACTCGAAAATTAGTTAAAATCCTAAAAATTCATAAAATTCGGAGGGACCTTTATATGGAGATTATGTTTTAAATGGAAAGTGCAACCATCAAAATAAATCGAAACATGGACCTATATTGAACATTTTCTGGATATATGTATTAAATATAATTGTTTAGATATTACCTTTATGAACTCCTTTAGCAACAACGAATATCTGGGTACACGTTGTATTGGCTGTAGCAGGAAGCTATTGATACCCAAATTATCCGAACATTTCGCTTGTACTATCTGCAATTAAATATAAATTAAATAAATATTGTAATTGTTCCTTATTTTTATAATCATACCTTGAAAAACTTCTTATAGTCATTGCATAGTTCCAGAGACCTTTGGTTGTTCATGGCATACAGGACATAAGCATAAAAATAGTCTTCCTGGAATTAAAAAAAAATATAAATAAAAATTTGAATTATTTTAAAAGTTTAAAGGCACATCATAGGATATATATTCAAACGACCCGTAATCGCCTGACCCACCAATACTTATAATGGAAAAATTCAATGTAGAGAAGAATCGTGGGGAGATATACCTATGATATTTGGCATAGGTTACCTATTTGGCCCAATGACACCCCCTTTTGAAATTGGGAAAAATCGGTTCAGATTTAGATATAGCTCCCATATAATTTTCGTCAGATTTAATGTAAACGGTCTCCATATATCTTTCGATTTGGATAGAATTTGGCACATCCTAATAATTTAGGTCTAGAATGATGTGTGTTAAGTTTCCTGAAAATCGGTTCAAATTTAGATGTAGCTCCCATATATATTTTCGCCTTATTTGAGGTAAATGGCGTACCAAAGTCCCTATATATCTTTCGATTTGCACGAAATTTTGCATAGCGTACTGAATTGAGTCTAGAATAATGTGTGTTAAGTTTCGTGAAAATTGGTTTAGATTTATATCATACATACACTAATTTTTTTTCCATTCAAATCAAATTGTACACTGTGGTACAGGGTATAATGTCTTTGTGCATATTCTTGTAACAGGCAAAAGAAAACGAGATAGACACATGGTTCCTTTTGAGAATATGCATAGAATCATTTTTAAGTCGATTTATGCATGTCCGTCCGTCCGTCTGTCTGTCCATGTTAAATTGTAAACAAAGTACAGGTCGCATTTATTATCCGATTTGGATGAAATTTGGCACAGCTCACTTATTTGGCCCCAGGACGAACCCTATTGAAATTTGGAAAAATCGGTTCAGATTTAGTTATAGCTCCCATATATATTTTCGTCCGATTTAATGTAAACGGTGTACTAAAGTACCTATACATTAGGACTAAAAAGATGTGTGTTAAGTTTCCTGAAAATCGGTCCAGATATAGATATAGCTCCCATATATATTTTCGTCCGATTTAATGTAAATGGTGTGCCAAAGTCACTATATATCTTTCGATTTGCACGAAATTTGGTATATCGTAATGAATTAGGTCTAGAATGATGTGTGTAAAGTGTCTTGAAAATCGGTTCAGGTTTAGATGTAGCTCCTCTATAGTTTTTCTTCCGAGTGTATGTAAATTGTGCACTAAAGACCCAAAGTTTGTCTGATTGCCACACAATTTGGTACAATGAACTGTAGTTTATATAAGTGAATCTCTGACAAGTCTCATTGAAATAGCTTCACGTTATATATATATATATATATACTTTATCTATAGCAACTGTATATCGGACCAAATGAAAAATTTAGTATAGGTTGCAGAATGACATGTTTATGGATCCATTTTCGTGTTTATAGTCCTTCAACGTCTGTTAGGAGTCTTCTGTTGAATATACCAAAAGTGGTGAAGGGTATCATATAGTCGGCCCCGTCCGACTTTACTACTTTCCTTACTGGTTTTAAATTGGTGCAGATGCAGACATAGCTTCCAATTGTACGCAAACGACTCTAAATCTGCCCGAATGAAACGAAATTTAGCATAAGATGCAGAAAGACATGTGTATGGATTGATGTTAATCGGTTCACTTATAGATAAAGATCGCATGTTTAAATTCCTTCCCTCGTAGGAATATTGACATGAAATTGTGAGGATACATATGTTGAATATACCTAAAGTGGTAAAGGGTATCATATAGTCGGCCCGGCTTTACTACTTTCCTTACTGGTTTAAGTTGCAATCATTATTGAAGTCCTCTTTCCAGTAGAAATGTAAGATATCATATTTCCTATATTTGGTTAGATTCGATATATTTGAATTTTTCTGGGAATATCTAGGGGTCCTCTTATGGAGAAATTTTTAAATTGGCTATTCAATTCGATTCAAATTAAATTTACAAGTTCATAAAATATTGACCCAGAAGGAGATAGCCGATGGGTCCAACCTTCAGACTTGATATAGGCTTATTAAAGATGCAAAGTCTGGTTCAAATCTGATATTCAACTTGTCTGATATTGAATTTATAAATATTAAACATTTTTACATGAAATCGGTTACTCCCCTAGACGGACGGACATTTGTAAATCGACGCTAAATTATCTGAAACGAATTTGGTCCAAAGAAATTGACGGTGGACCCTCAATTTTCAATTCTTTAATCGGTTTAACTAAGTTTTACCCGTTTTTTGTATACCAATTCGAGGACTTACCTCAATATAACGTTGAAATTCATCAAACAGCTGCTTTAAATTATTACGATTTCTCAACAGCATTGGCAGAAATTCATCTCTGTGAAATTCGGCAATTTGTTCAATATTTCCAAGCAGCACATATTTTTTACCCTTCAAACCTTTGACTAAATCACGTTGTTCAAATATTTTGCCATAGTTATTTAAACCCTGCCACAGACTATCCACGTACGATTCTTCGGTTTTAATTAATTCCTCCAAAATGTTTTGGATGTGTTCCATTCCCTTGGGGCAGATTTCGGTAGGTAACTGATTTTCACTGAGACTATAAGAAATAAAAATAGATTAAAAAAATAAGTTGAAATATTTTACGATTTGCTTACCCCGAATCTGGTTTAAGGGAATAGTATTTGTCGACAGCGGGATCAACAATTTGATATGTACCATTTTTGATAATTACCAAGGATTTGTTATGCCTGAAAAAAATATTATATTATTATATTATATTTATCAGTGTGGGACAAAATTTTGGCGGTTGAATATTCCTTAGGCGGATGAAAGTCCTTGGCGAGTATATTAAGAATTCAGAAGGACAAATTCACCATAGGGCAAGTTTTTGAAATATGTCGGGATGATTTGTATTTCATTGTAACTCCCAAGTTCATAAAGACAAAGTTCTATATTTTTGCGTCTATTGTTTTTTGGAGATGACAAGTCTTCAGTCAAATCGAATGAGGAATATTTTTCTAAAACATATCATCCTATATGTCGAGCCCGTATGCGCCTTTTTCGTCCTTATTTTTTTTCTTGTGTGTTTTTAATATACTCTCCAAGGGCATTCATCCTCCCTATAGAATTTTCCGTCACAGACTATGAGCTCGACTTTGTTGCATAGTATTATTTATTTATATTTGATTTTTATAGAAAATCTAACCTTGAAATATCTTCAGGAATTGTCTCTACAGCGTCACTCCTCTCCTTCACCTGTTCGGAGATTAACACAATACTTTGATCGTCTCTGCTTTGTTGTCTGTTGAATAAAGTAATTTTGAATAAAAATTATAGAATTTTAGGTCTCTAAATTATTTTTGATTAACCTGCTTAGATGTCTGTGCCTGGGCCTCTTAATGACGTCTGTTCCCAAGTCTTCTGATTTCGCTTTGATTTCTGCTTCATTAGGGGTTAATTTTTTACTAATTACCATGGGAACATCCGTCCTCGAAGAAATTGCATTGGTTCTCTTGTCATCCAAAGCATCAGAATCACGACGACGTTGGGGCTCTGCATCAAATGAAACACCTTGCCTAAAATAGGATTTATTTTGAGTTAATAGAGGGAGGAATTTAATTACAAATCCCGACACCTTACCTTGTCAACTCCTTACCCCTTGTCTTTGAAATAGCTCCATTTTCATTGAGGCTCTCATTTCTTCTAATATCTCTGCTAGGTTGGGAACTATAACAGATTTTTAATATAACATAAATTTAGTTTCAAATTATTTTCCAAAAATGTTATTTATTCACCTTGCAATGGTCTTCGGTCTTTTCCTTCGTTTTATTTCCTTTCGTCGCTCCAAACGTTCTGGCAATAAAAGTTCTTTCGTTGGACTACTTACTGCATTATCGCTTTCTTTTGTAGGGGATTCTGGAACAGCAGTAGTAATTTCAATCTCCTTTATTGGCTCCTCGAATTTAATACTTGTTCGTATTTCTTTCGGCGGTTCATCTGTTGCATTGGCTTCCTCCTTATCCTCAGGTGTATCCTTGGAACTACAAAATAAAGAAAAGAAAATTAGAGTTAAATTTGGAAAAGAAAAAAATAAATAAGCCAGAAAAACAAAATTACCAACCCCCTGAGTCCATACAAGCTTGCGACATCGAGTTAGTAGATATTTCGGTAGCCATAATTATAAGTTCTTTTAAGGCAAATAACTTATTATTTTCATTATTTTTCGGAATAA